TGCTAACCAGCTGACCTTAACATAAAGGCCGCCTTTTACCTGCAGGAGAGGGAGTCGGGGAAATGCAATAGAGTCAGTCAGGACTGGAGGGAAGAGTGTTATGAGTCCATGTACAACACCCTTAGATGCCAGAAATGAGAACACTGGATGTTCCTCTAGAACTTCTAGAAGGAACAGGCCTGCTGACCCATGAGATCCATTTCAGAATTTGCAGAACTGTAAGTAGAATTTGGTGTTTAAGTCACTAAGATGGTACAGGAGCACAGTGTACCCTCAACACCAGAGCTCGTGGATGGGGACAGCCAGCACAACATCAGTCTCAAGGAAGCAAAGCACACAAGTTCCTAGTGCTGACAGTGAGGTGGGATGGCAGAGAGCCTGGCAGGGAGCTGGTCAGCCGTGGTGGTGAGTGGATCTGCAGGCTGGCCTCCGAGAGCCTGGCAGGGAGCTGGTTAGCCACGACAGTTCTAGATACCACTGCCTGTAGAGTGCTGTGAACAGTGCTTTTGGTGTTTGTTTTTAACACTGGATCTCACTCTAGTCTGAGCTGTCCTCAAACTCTGTGGCCCAGGCTGGTCTAGAACTTACAGCAATCCTCCTGGCTCAGCCTCCCATGTACTAGGACTACAGGCATGAGCCACCAAACCATTCATTCATTCATTCATTGATTCTGAGACAGGTTTCTCAGTGTAGCCCTGGCTGTCCTGGAACTAGCTTTGTAGATCAAGCTGGCCACAAACTCAGAGATCCACTTACCTCTGCCTCCGAAGTGCTGGAATTCAAAGAGTGTCCCAACACCACCCGGATACCATTTTTACATTTAATAATTATTTTACTGAGAAGTACAGCTATGAAACAGCATTGTTTCTAAATGCAGATAATAAGAAAATCTAGTTAACCAAGCAACTGATTCGCTGAACTATCAATTGCTGTTCTAGTATCTTCCCTCTAATTGTAGCAGATTAGAGCCAAGGGGACTTTAATTAGGTTGTTTCATCCATTTTCCAGGCAAAGGCACACTGACGTAGCTTCAGGATTCAAAGTTCAGACCTTCAGAAATGGAGCTCTCTGTTTTAGCTTCCTTCCTGTCGCTAAGATAGAACATTCTGACCAAAGCACCATGTGGTGGAAAGGATTTATTTACCTTCTGGTCACAGCCAGTCATTGAGCTAGCCAGGATGAGAACTTGAAGCAGAAATTCACGCAAAGGCTCATGGTTTGTCAGCTTCTCACACAGCTCAGGATCACTTGCTAGGGAATGGTGTTGCCTACGGTGGGCTAGGATCTCCTTTGTCAATCAATAATGGGGACAATATTTAGCAGAAATGCCTGCCTGTAGGCCAGTTTGAGCTAATCCCTTGACGGAGACTCCCTTCTTAGATGACTCTAGGCTGGGTCTAGTTGACAGTTAAAGGTAAATAGTAGTGCAGGGTCCTGAGGGAGAACACAGCAAAATCTTAGGCAAACGGCAAAACTGGAACAGTGTTTGTGACTCCCTTCTGGGATTTTTAAGGGCACAGAAGTTACAGTGGAAACTCAGCACATGCCAGTCAAATCCTCTTGCCACCAAGGATGACAGCCCTGGAACTATGCTCATCCCTCTGCACCAGGTTCCACTGTAGAGTTCACGGAAACAGTGCGGCAGGAAAATTGTAATTCCAACTGCCCACATTCTCCTTCTCTCATTACAGCACCAGTGACGTCATCAGCAAACCTTAGACAGCCTTGCAGATACAGGCAAGACTGTCCTGATCACCAACCAGCAATGACAGTTCCCCGTGAGCAGTGTGTGCTCTGGCCCTCCCCCAACTCTGAGCTTGAAAACACCCCTTCTGCTGATTTAAGAATGCCAGTGTTAGCACCATGCTTGTCCCAACCAGATGATGTGTTTGTCAAGATCCCTCAAGGCCAGAGGCAGGATGCCTGTAGAGGCGGCTGGAGCCAGGTGACCTGCTGTCCCCATTGCCTGCTGAGTGGTCAGAGCATGTTCTGGGGCTCATTGTCCTCATCTGTCAAATGATGGCAGAGTAGTCTAGGGATAGATTTCTCTCTAGACGTTTTTTGTAAAACGGTGGTGATATACCCCCTCATGTTTGTCTGAGAAAGCTGAGCGCAGAGGGAAAGGGTTTGCAAATGTAGATAATTTTTATTATATAAGTAAAGTTTGGTATAGAAAATTACAACTGTTGCAGACAGAAGTGGACAGAGCAGAGAGTGAGTGTCTTCCTTTGACTCTTGAGCCTGTACCCAGGGCTGGCCGACTCCTACCAGTGTTCTCTTCGTTGTAAAGAATCTAAAAGCAGAGTTCTACAATGGACTCCTTTAGTTTCATGGCTCTGATCATTGGTGAGACAAAAAAAGTAATCTTCCTTGCTTCTAAAATATCCAAATTTAGATCTTTCAGATTTTTAAAACTCTACCACTACAACAGTCTTACTTATAAATGGACCTGAAGCTAATTCCAGTTCATAGGAGAAATGCCATTATTTGGCCAGCACAGAAATTGCAAATGGCTAGTGACATGTGGAGGCTGGGAAACCTTCTGTTCTCAGACTGTGGCATGACATTTGCATGACCTGTGTAGGGAGAGGGAGTGAGTAGTCCAAACCATTCCCCACAGTGTGAGGCCTGAGAGTCTAATACCTGGGACCTTTAAAAGCTTTTTCTTTGGCTAAAGAAATTTTAAAAATTGAGCAGGGATGTGGTGCAAAAACCTTCAATCCAAACAGTCCAGAGGCAGAGGCAGAGGCAGGTAGAGCTCTGTGAGGCCAGCCTGATCTACATATGAAGTTCTAGGCCATTCATGGCTAATAAGACTCTCTTAAAAGAAGAAATAAAAAATAAAATTAAAAAGCTACTTCCAGTTAAAATATAAAACAAAAAGTTACCTCCAGTTAAGCTAATTTTCTGTTGGGAATTGTAGAGAACTAAAATGAGTTCTACGCCTAACTACAGAACAATTTGTAAAGTCTCTCAGAGTGCACCTGACGGCTCACATACTTGGAAGCACAGATGGGTGAACTGCTCCCTCAAGCTCCACTCAGCTCATGCCTGTCAGGAGGAAAGGGAAGACCCCAAGCAGCCATACTGGCTGGCTTGTTGAAAGAAGGAAAGCCCTCGGAAGATTCATAATCTTACAAATGAGTGTCATTCCCTGCCACTGGGAGTTTATCACATGCTTGGCAGGTACTGAGCTGTACCCTAGCCCCGGGTGGCAGTTTTTACCCTGAAGGGACTTGGAGGAAGGCAAACTGGGGCAGGAGTACTAAAGACTGTGGCCAAGCAGAGAGACAGGAGGTTGGAAGCACAATGACGAGATACATCCCAGGCGAATAACAGTCTTGAAGCATGGCAGAAGGAGGGGGGAAGCACAATGACGGGATACATCCCAGGCAAATAACAGTCTTGAAGCATGGCAGGAGGAGGGTGCAGTATTTCACAGAAATAAACTCGTGCTTAGGATTCTGTGAATGGGTCCCCACAGCATCCTGCTTCACTGCAATTGTACCCGAGGGGAAAGCTGCTGGGTGTGTCCTCATCTACACAGTGAGCATGTCATCAGGTTGCCGAGTTGTGTGGCATCTTTGAAGACAAGGTCTCAAGTAGCCCAGGATGGCCTAAAACTTGGTATGTAGCCCAGGATGACCGTGAACACCCGATTCTCCTGCCTCTACTTAAATGCAGGGATTACAGGAATGTATCACCATGATCTCGAATGGCTGTGACACGTGGTGAATGCTCAGGAAATGTATCACTATTTTACTAACTGGAAACAGTGACAGGATAGGTGTCAGCACTCAGGACAGCACAGCAGCTAGGAGACAGGACAACTTGCAGACAGCTGGCCACGTGCATCCTGTCTTGACCTTTCAATCTTGCACAAATTTTTTTCCTTAATATTGTGTGTGCGTGTGTGCCCCTTAGTGCATATATGGCAGTCAGAAGTTGTGGGAACTGCTTCTCTCTCTCCACCATGTGGGGAGGATCCTGACTGACCGAACTGAAGTCTTCACACTTGGCAGCAAGCAACTTCACCTAATAAGACACGTCGATGACAGTTTATAAAGCAGCACAGTATTGATACCTCACCTTGGAGCTGCTGTGTGTTTGATAATGCTCAAGTGCCCAGAAAATACTAGTTACCAGGTGTCAGCTGAGGCAGATACATGGTGGGAGGAGCCATAAGGCAACAGGGCATGAAGTCCAGACCCAGGGTCAACAGAGAAGGCAGGGATTAGCGAGTTGCTGGCAGAAGTTACTGAAACTCTATGAGGAAATGAACCAGGAGCCGAATGTAGAAGATGGCCCATAAAAACAAATCTAAAATACAAGTGGCTGCTTCAGAAACTGTCATATATATCCATGTCCATATGTATGGATTTCATCTTATTAGCCTTTCAAGTCTTCCTAGATTGTTCAAGGTAAAAAAAAATTTGAGGATGACAGTTGTTCGAGTAAAAACTGTTTGGGAATTTGGTTCACACCTTTACTCTCAGCCATCTCGGCTGAGGCAGATCTGAGTTTAAGGCCAGCCTGATCTGCACAATGAGTTTCAGGACAGAAAAACCTTATCTTAACAATATAAAGAATCACCATTTACTCTTCAAATGGCCAGACTTTCAGAACATTTTTAAAGGTTACTCACTCACCTATTTTCGTGTCTTTGCTACAAGGTACCTTCAATAATTCAGTTCACTTGCTTTCTTATGCTCAAGTGCCAAGGATGACTCTAATTTTCAAACTCATTCAGGAAAATAGAAGCTTTGGAGACTAAAAACAAAGAAAAACCCAAAACAAAAGAAAACAAACCAAAAACAAAAACAAACTGGGGCTGGAAAGATGGCTCAGTAGTTAGGAACACTGCTTTTGAGAGGACACAGGTTCAATTCCCAGCACCTATGTGGCAGCTCACAATTGTCTGTAGTTCCCAAATCTGACACCCATACAGACATACATGCAAGCAAAATACAAATGCATATAAATATTAAAAAAAACAAGAGTCTGTTGCAAAATTAGTGGTATTTCATGAAATTAATTTGTCAGTGTTACATTTCATATCAGTCAGAAACACGTATTTCTTTCCCAAGTCAAATGCAGAGATCTGTCCTAGAATGTACTTGGTTTTTATAGAATATAATGGTCAGATTGCCTTTCTAAACTTTTAATAAGGCATTTACATTTAATCTACCTTAAAAAAAAAGACCTTATCTCAACAAAACAAAAAACTCTAGGAAAGCATGTTCTGCCTCCAAAAGAAGGGACTTGAGAACGTCAAGGGCTGGGGGACCATGTTTGGTCTTTGGTGGTAGCTTAGCATGTGATAAGGCAGGAGACAAACACGGGGGATGTAAGTGGCAAGTGTGGGCAGTGCGGATTTCTCCACTTTCAGGGCTAGGCATTGCGGAGGACTGGGCTGAGGAAAGGGAGGGAATGAGACAGGGGTTGACTCTAAGGCAGTGGGGAGGTGTGGCCTCTGGTGTCTCTTCTGGTTCAGGGGAAGGTCAGTGGGGACCTGTGAGGCAAGCAACTATTCTCCCTAGGGATAGATGTCTTGATAAGGTGTCAAGATGCAAGACAAGAAAATGGGAGAATGTGCCTGTCACTGGGTCTGATCCAGGGAAAGATTTAAGTAAAAGGGTGCTCATTGCCTTGGGTTAGCCACATGAGGGACAGAACAAAAGTGGTCTCTTGGGACTGGCCCGATGTGAGTTCTATAGAGGCTAAGGCAGGGAGCCATGGAGTCAGTGATATTCAAGGCTCCTTTCTGAACATGGTGGTGCTGGGTCACTATTATACATTTGGAAAGGAGTGGACCGAGTTCCTGGATAAATAACTTTATCCTTGTTTCCACGCCCCTTCCCCTGACAGGCTCGCGGTGTGACGAGTCTTTGGTGTTTAGAGAACCTTCAGGCTTAAAAAGCTTTCAGGACTAAGGCACTGCAAGGAGGTAGCTGTGAGGACCATCCTGTGTACCCGGAACCAGGCTACTGGACTGGGGGGGACTGCCACGCCTGCAGCCTATGGTTAGGTTTACACATGGAGCTGTCGTGCTACAGCAGGACCTTGGTGATCACAGTCGTCGTCATCATCGTCGGTGTCAGGGTCCTCCTTGGGGAGCAGAGGCAGAGGAGAGGACCGTCCTGGGACCTGTACACTGGGGCTCGCACCGGAGCTCTGCTTCTTCATCCACTCACTCAGCGCTTCCCGCTCGCCCTGTAGCTGGCGGCGTGCCTGCTCCAAGGAGACAGCCTCCTGCTGCAGAACCCTGCGCTTGCGCTCCAGCTTGAGTTCCGCCTGCTTTAGGGCCGCCTCGCGCCGCTCCAGCTCCAGCTCGCGCCGGCTGCCCCGCATGGCCAGCGCACCCATCTGTTCCAACAGGCGTGCCCAGTCGCCCTCCGCAACCATAGTGGGGCTGGGCGGCGGCGGGCAGGACGCTGCGGGCGGCGCGCTCGGAGCAGCGCTCTTCTTCAGCTCCCGCAGGTGCGCATCACTCAGGTGCCGCCACAGCGCCCGCGTCCACAGCTGGAAGCTGGGGAGGCCACCCACTTGCTCCCCGCACAGGCGGCAGGTGGCGCAGGCGCTCATCATCAGGTGCCTAGGCTGAGCCGAGTCCAGATGGAAGTAGCCCCAGGCCTCGGAGTATGATGGCCCTGCGGGCGCAGGACAGTGGCCGCCTTGTTCTGCAGGGTCATCAGGCCTCCAGCTGTCTTCCATGGTGGTTTTCAGGGCCTTTTCATTCTTCATTCCTTCTGCAGTGTCTGCATAGAGGTAGGAGAATAACAGTAATAATTATACACACAGATCCTATAAACATCTGAGGACAAATGCCTTTTATGCTACAAACCTTGTGGGTATGTTTTTTTTTTCTTCCCCTCCTTAATACTAAACATTAAATGCCAATGTCTAAGAAAAGAATGTTAGAAATATCTAGTCCTCCTTGTTCTAAGCGTTCTCTTCCAAACAAGTATCTCCATGTACCACGTGTATCAAGAAACTGAGCTAAGCTGGAGATGTAGTTTGGTAGCTTGCTTGCCCAGCATGCACAAGTGACTAGATTTGATCCCAAACAGCACATACTGGGAGTGGGGATTATAACAATGTACTTATAAGAAAACAGGCCATACAGAAAACCATAAGCTTTCAAAGTATGCACATTTTAGGAAGTAGGCAGATGTAAAGCACAACCTTTTAAACTTGTGTCTTTAAATTAGATGACAGGCCAGGTCTCTCAGTGACCTTGAGGTCCTGGTTATTGGCTGGAGGTTCTGGACCATCCTAGGTTCCAAAGTAGAAAGATGTGTACAGGATAACTCGGGATGATCTTGGAGTTTGTAGGACACACAGACTCACAAGAAATGCTATGGAACAGCCTTGTTAGCAGGAAAATGACTAGTGAATGCCTATCTAGGATCCTCTAGTCCTGAGCATTTTATAGGTACCCAACACATACGCAAACAGTCCTTACTAATGGCCCCTCTCATATTTAGAAGATAGAAAGTTTGACACTTCCAGTTACAGGGCTGGGGAAGAAATCTAATGGTGTATGCTTTGTCTGCTAAAGTATCTACACAAGAGGGACCTAAAGAGTCACGACTGTAATCGCGAGTCTTGGATACGTGTGTAGGCATCACAGGATGGGTGCGGAGATCGGATAACCTGCCTGTGCGATTGGTGTTCTCCTTCCATCTTTACAGGGGTTCTGGGGATTGAACCCAGGTCGCCAGGCTCACATGGCGAGTGCTTTACCTGCTGAGCCATCACACTGGCTCAATGACTAAATAACTCATCCAACACAACTCCCTGCCCCTCCCCCCCCCAAAAAAGAAACACCTAAAAAGGTAGCATTTGGAACAAATTGGAACAAGTTGGAAGTGGACATGATTGCCTGGATCTAGACAGATATCTGAAGGTTAAGACAGGATGCGTGAGACCTGTTGAGCTCTTCTGATGGTTTATCTCAGGAAGCAACATGGCCAAGGAGAGCCAAGCTTAGTGAGCTAGCCAGCGGCTGCTCATTCTGCCAGGTTGAGGGAGGAGCAGTAGAGATTATAAAATTACAGAATCTGTTAAATCAGTAAGACTGAAGACAAAGGTCAGGAAAAAATATAACATGTGTGTATGTACATGATATGTATACATATATGCATGTATACAGGGAGAGATTTGGGTTTACAATTTTACAAAACAGTGGGCATAAAAGTCCAGAAATGACAGTGGGTGCTTCCAATACCCATTTCCCATGTTCAGACAGATCATCCAAATGAAAGATCAAAGGAATTTCAGAGTTAAACTATACTGTGAGTTATAGATACATGCAGAATATCCACCCAAAAGACATGGGCTATAAGTTCTTTTTAGTAGGCCACTGAACATTAATACAAAAGAATCAACAGATTATAGTGAAGTAGATCTAGAAGACAGCAAGAGAAACTCCAGAAACTACCCAGACATTAGAAATTAGATCATACATTTTCAAAAAGATCTTAAAAAACTTGGAAGAAATTTAAAAATCCCTAGAACCAAGTGGATATGAAAGCAAAACTCACCAGAACCTCTGGGGTGTAGCCTAGGCAGCTCAGAGAGGAAGGTTTATAACTGTGCATGCTTACATTAAAAATCCAGACAGGTCACAATAAATGGACCAGTGATACACCCCAGGTCTAACAGAAAGATCAAGTCAAATGCCAAAGGAGTAGATGGCAGGAATTTATGACAAGGACAGCAATTAATGAAATTTAAGCTAAATGAGTAGTATATAAAAACAAGTTCTTTGAAGAAAAAAAGAAAACCTTAAGGTTGAAAACCCTCTATATACATAATGCTATATACATAATGGGGAAAAACTGAAAGCATTTTCTCTAAAGAAGACAGGGTACCCATCCTCTCTGCTCTTGTTCAGCAGAGTGGGGAGGGAGGGAGAGGGAAAGGGGAACAAACAGGAAAAGCAGTGAAATTATTCATGTTTGCAGATGACAGGATCCTGAAAAGACCCTCAGGCCACCACCAGAAAACACTTTCAGAAAGTAACAGGAAAACAAACTCAGCATCCCAAATCAGCTTTTCTACATACTAATAAAATTGCCAAGGGGAAAAAAAAAAGGGGGGAAAAATCCCATTCTCAATACCAAAACAAACAAAAAAACAAAACAAAACCCCCAAAGCCTAAGGTGAAATGACCTCTATTAATAAACTAAAATATTGAAAAAAAATTGAAGTAGATAATGGAAGATGATTGCCCGGGCTCCTGGCTTAGCAGAATTAACACAGTGGGAATGGCTGTGTCATCAACAGTTATCTACAGAGTCAATGCAATCAGCTCCAAGAACTAGGGAATAAACACCCAACAGTCATATGGACACAAAGGACTCTTAATAGTCAATTCAATGCAAAGCAAACAAGAACAATACAGGAAGCACTGGCCTATACTACAGGGCCATAGAAACAAGACAGCGCAGTAGTTCCACAGACAGGTCTGTAGAACAGTGGACAGAATGGAGGACTGACCGAGCAAACCCACAAGCTACGGCCATGGAATCTTTGACAAAGCTGTTGTACATTACATTAGAAAACAGACGGCCTCTTTTACAAGTGGTGCTAGGAAAACTACATATTCACGTACAAAAGAATGAAACTAGACCGTCTCTCACTGGGCACACAAGTTCAATTCACAACTTGATTCCCAGGATCTTAGTATAATCCTGGGAACCCGGAAGCTGCCAGAGGAAAACATTAAGACAAGTATAAGCTAGAGCTAGGACTTCAGAGAGGTCAACAGCACAGGAAACAATGCCAGAGCCGAGGACTGGAACTGCTTGAAGCTAAGACTTCAGCACCACAAGGTAAACCAACACCAGAGTGAAGAAACCACCTACAGGAGGAGAGAAAAGCTCTGTCAGTTACGAATCCAACAGATTAATGTGAGGCGCGAGTGTAGTGTCTCGCCGGCAAGAACGCGCGCACACACACACACACCAGAATCCTTCCGTATGAACACGTTTATTCCCAAAAACCAAAATGGTGGAAGAAGACGAAGACGACTTGGGAAAGCACTGCTATATACCCTAGAGCGGTGTATTCACCTCTGATTGGCTGCTTACTCGTTGCGCGCCAAACGCCGTGGGATGGGCTTTAACTTTGGCGGGCTTTTACCATGGCACATGCGCAATTTACTTGTTTACTAGGAAGAATTATGGCTGACAGCGCCACCTAGCGATGGCGGACTTTGCCAGCACCCGCCGCGGCTCCCAACAGATTAATACCTGCAATCCATAATGAACTCCAAACATTGCCAAAAAGCATCCAATTAAACTGAATGGAGATACAAATGGCCAGTAAATGATCTGATGGTGCTCAACATTCTCAGCCGCCTTGAGCCTTACCTAAATCAAAATGGCTAGCATGAAGGAAACCACCAACAAGTGGTGGCCATTTGTCTCCACATGGAGAAAAAGGAATCCTTCTGTAAGGCTGTTGGGGATATAACTTAGGATAGCTTTGCTCATGCGTGGAGTGTGGGGGAGGTTCCTCAGAAAATCAATAGTGTATGATCTGTATCACATATGAGTATGCCTGAACAAGTCAAGGTCAACACAGCACTGAAATGTTTACACACCCATGTTTCTTGTTGAACTATTCATAATAGTCAAGATATGGAACCAGGAGCTGAAGAGACGGCTTAGCAGTTAGGAACACACATTGCTCTCGCAGAGAACTTACGTTCTCAGCCCCATCCTGTGCGACAACCAGCTCCCGGGGCACTTCTGTGCACACATATACACACAACGAAAAAGGACCAGCTTAGGTGTCTATAAAGGATGATGAGGTAGAGGACCACACAGACAAGTGAAAATATGACATCACAGGAAAGTGGATGAAACCAAGAGCTGTACGTAGAGTGAATTACGCCCGACTCAGACAAAAGCCACTTCCCCTTCACATACAGAAAGTAAAGTTTATACACAATGTATGCATCTGTAGGACACAGATGTACAAGAGAAAGAGTCTAAAGGCTAGGGAGAGGACAAGAAAAGGATAACAGAATTCACACATCACAGGAGCAGAGGGTAGAACCATTTAGGGGACAAAGGAGACCAACTAGATGTGAGGGGGCGGCAAGAGAAAGAACAAACTGTGGAGATACAGCTATACGGAAATGTGAGTGACGCCCAGGTCTCCTCATGCTGACCAAGTATTCTAAAGAGTACACAGAACAAGATTTTCTATTATAAACAGTTTAATTATCTAGCTTTATCTAAGATTTTCTATACATCCTATCTGTTAAGAACTCCATTTCCTTCTGCCTTGATCTGTCCTTCAGGGCTCTTTTTAATTACCAGACACAAGATGGGATGCTATTTTAGGGAATATAATTTATTTCATAAATTTAAAATGATTTGACTATTGCTTTGCCATTTTGACAGGCATGTGAGCTTACAAGGTTTTTTTTCCCCCACTTGTGTGGGGATTTGAGAGTCCCCATTGCTTACACACCTCTAGCAATGCCAGGGGTGACCCATCAAGGTTTTTACACCCCTATGAGCTGCAAGCTGGGCTTCCTGTAAATTCTGGGATGCTGAGAGCACCAGCCACATGTGTGGTCTGCTGGAAGTTAAGGTGGGCACTGCAGGAGAACATGGGTTCTTCACAGTGCTCCTCACCTGAGAGTGGGGACAAACAACAACTACAATGTAGGCCAGCACAGTACTGCCCCTCCAACGTGGTCGAGAGGACATTCTTTGCCTGGTCAGCCTTTTACTGT